TGGATGGGGACTTCAGCTGTTGCAGGTCTGGGATTGGAGACTCCTCAGAAGGGTTTTTGCCAGAGGGCAGGCACCAGCTCTTCCTGGAAACTGTCGCAGAGGGATGGGTGATGCTCTGCCTCAGCTTTTGGGGCTGGATGGGGCCATAACGGGGACTGGAAGGGGGAAGCAGCCACAGCTCCCACATGAGCATCCCCGGGGCAAAGGATGAGGGTCCCTCTGAGTGAAGTCACCTCTGGGTGAAGCCACCTCTGGGTAAGATGACCTGATGGGGCAGGGAAGAAGGGCAAAAGGTAGAGAACGGGCAGGTTTAACCCCTGACTGGTCATAGCAGAAAAAGGGAGCCAAGTCTGTGTGGGAAGTCACCTCTGGGTGAAGCCACTTCTGGGTAAGATGACCTGATGGGGCAGGGAAGAAGGGCAAAAGGTAGAGAACGGGCAGGTTTAACCCCTGACTGGTCATAGCAGAAAAAGGGAGCCAAGTCTGTGTGGGGGGACACCTCTCTGGTGAGCTCTCAGCAGCAAGGAGACCAGCCCTGCCTCGAGCCTCGCAGCACTGCAGAAGTTTTATGGCCAGAGCTGGTCAGAATTGCTCAGGTGAGCAGCTTTTGGGCTGAAAAATGCAGAATCTGGGTGTAAATTGCTCTGTGGAGTTTTGCAAGCCCATCAGGTCTGAAGTTCCCTGTTGAGGGGGGTTTCACCAGTGGAAGTCGGAGGCAGCGCGAGTTGCTGGACAGGAGACATCCTGGCTGGGCTGGGGGGGTTCAGGTCCCCACTCTGTAGCAGTCCCTCCTTTGGGATGAAGCTGCAGGTGGACACAGCATCGTGCCTTTTGTTGCTAGTGGGCCCCATCTCTAAAAACTCATGAACCTCAAATCTCCCCCCTGATCCCTCTCCAAACACGGCTCGGGGAGCAGATGGCAGAGCAGCCCTGGCTTAGTCCCCAGCTCCTGTCCTTTTCTTTGTTTTTCTCAGCGATGGTTAACTTTGTAAGACACCGAAGTCTTTAACCATTAGCAGGCAATAAAAAGGGGCAGCTGAGTTGGATAACACCCCCTAATCCCCTTCCAGGATGAGCTGGAGAGAAGAGCCACTGTAAAGCTCAGGAGCTTATTCCGAGATGAGTGCTTTGGAGGCTTTGAGAATTGCACGGTGTTGGTATTTCATGAATAAATAACCCCCAGTGATATTTGTCACTGAATCTGCTTCGTTAATGAGGGCCTGGAACAAAAGGGGGAGGATGGAGAAGAGTATTTTCGAGGGGAATCGAGGCGGGTGGGGGCGATGGGAGGTGGCACGGGGCTGGGTGAGGATGGGTGCCCTGGTCTGCACGGAGAGCCTTGCTGTTGTGCATCACACTGATCATTTGTGGCCGTAGAAGTTGTTAGAAAAGGGACTTTTTCCTGAGGCATCAGTGGGTCCTGGTAGAGAGGGGAGTGCATTTCATTTATAAATGTATTGTTTGAGTGTCTCCATGTGTCTTTGGGAGGGCTGGGAGTTGGAGTGTGTGTTCATAGACATGCGTGTGCTTGTGGAGAGAATCTGGCACCAGAATTTAGGTTGTTTGCTCCAAAATGCCCTTTTTTTTGACGGGACCTAGCATCTGCCTCGGGGCGGTGGGGAATTGCCCCATCCTCCCCCAGCTTGGTCTCTGGTTCCCCAGCTCCCTGGTGTGCTCCGGGCACAGCATGAACCTCAGAGCCCGTCTTCTCCATCCTACCTTGTCAGAACGGATCCGGGGGTCACTCAGTGAAATTCAGTCTGGATGGATGGAGAACAAGAGAACAGAGCTGTTCTTTTGCAGGCAGCTCGTTACTGCAGGGAAAGTGATTCATCCATCAGAGCCGGACTACTCCGGCGTGCCCAGGGGGTGGGGGGAGGATGGTTGCCCCTGGCTGGCACCGGGGCAGTGGTGGCCAGATGCTGCCATTGCTCCTCAAGTGTCCCCTGCCTGGGCACTGCCCGCTCTCCATGTCGGCTGTGGGATTTGGGGCTGGGGGGCAGAGAGAGGGACAGGGCAGGGTCACCACCGGAGCTGCGTGGGTGGAAAATCATCTGCTCCCAGCCACGCGTCGCCCGTCCCGTTGTGGCTGCGGGAGGCAGGTAATTAATTTATTGCTCTTCACCCTGGAAAATTAAAAGGCTGGCCGTGCCAAAGTGCACCCAGAGCAATTCTGCCAGCCCCTCCGGAGGCAGAGGAGAGCAGGTTGCTCCCAGCTGGCTCCGAGCATCACGTCAGCCCTCTCATCCCTGACATCCCCCGTGTCAGGGCACCGCGCTCAAGTGATGCTCCTCTAATCCATCGCTGGCCGAGCAGCCCCCCGCCGTCTGCAGGCAGCGCTGTCACCCCGCTCCTCTCCCAGGTGACATTTGAACACTCTCCTCCAGCTCTGCTTCCCCACCTTCCAGCGAGGTTAATATTTTAATACGCTTAATGGCTCATTCCGGCTCGGCAGCCCCTGCCCCTCTTTCGTCGGGGGTCATCCATTATGCCAGGCACGATTTCGGAGAGCGAGGTTCCCGTTCCCATCCTCCACCCTCCCGAAGGCAGAAGGTCGGTTTGTGCTTCCAGGTTTTAATTAAAAGCGTAACGAGCTGCCCCTTCCAGCCCGGGAGCATGGTGCTCATCTCCCAGCTCCCTGGAGTTACCCCAGATGAGGATCTGACCCCGGGATCTCCTTTCTACCACCCAGCGTGGCTGTAGGTCCTCACCTTCTCCCTCCAGGGACGTGGGAGCTGCAGGAGGGTCTGGTGGTTTGGTGGCCAAAGGGAAAAGCCAGGAGGGAGGACGGGGACACGGTTCTCCTTGCAGTCCACCTACCATGAGAAACCCCTCAGGAGGACCAGATGGGGCTGAGCTATCCGGGTGGGCGGTGGAGGAGTTGTCATGGTTTGTTGGGTTTTTTTTATTTAATAATTCTCTCTACATTAATAAACAGCATTTTTGGTTAGTAAATAATGTGCCCTTTCTCTCCCCCCCATCTCTCCAGCAGAAATACGTGCTCTGATCTAATATATTCTGTGTCTTTCTCACTCCCTCACTTCGGAGGAGCTGCAAATTCTGGTGGGAACAGAGTGCTAATAGAAAAAGAGCCTCTAAAGATATTTGAAACATGACCAAGAAAGGACAGAGGGAGATTCAGCTCCAAATATGCTGGAAAATCTAGGAGATGGGCCAAGAGAGGGGGAATATTGGAAGTGTAATAGCCAAGAGGGAAAAGTTAATTGGGAAGCATTAATTGGGATGAAAGCAAGCAGCAAAGACATGAATTTGCTACTTGGGGTAGCGATGCCAGGGGCACTGCTGTGGGCACGGAGGTACCACGGTGCTGGGATAACTGGTCCTCCCCAACCCATGGTAGCAGAGAAGCTGCCCTCCACCTCCCTCTGAGCAGGGGTGTCCCATTTTACCAGTTCTTGCTGGTTTTATGGTGTTTTCCTTGTTGAAAGTCCCAGCTTCTGGAATCCTGTGATTGTCTGAAATCTGGGATCTGCAAAATCATGACTCGAGTATTGCGTAGGGCTTTATTTCTTTGGATTTGGTCTCTGGGTAGTTTCTAGCCCTCGTGTTTGCAGGGAAGAGCTTGATTATGCCCCAAAGGCTCCGAAAGCCGAAGGCAAATTTAGGGGGAGGAAAAAAAAAAAAAACCCACCCAGTGATTGATTTATTTTTAAAATCTCATCATTTTTATGCCAATCTCATTATTTTTTAAAATTTTTTTTTTAATGCCTGACTCATGATATTTTTGAGCGTTGGGTGTTGGCAGGGCTGTGTATGTGAGTGTGACGGGGGGGGGGGGGGGGGCGCCGACAGATAACGCAGTGCTGAGTGTTCCTCTGATGCCCTTTCATTGCCAAGCACAGGGTTTCCAAATTAAAACCCCCCCCAAAAAATGGAAACTAGCACTGGGTATTGAGTCACTGAGTCATCGTGCGGCTCTTTAGGTGCTGTTGGGAGAGCAGGGGAGATGCTAAAGGGGAATAACCCCCCCCTGTGATTCCTGGTATTGCCTTAGGGGAGTATTTTAAGGTCAGAAGGGACTGTGTTTATTTGCAGCCCCCTGTGTATAAAGATCTAATAACTTGGCTATGGAGATGAAGTCCGTCTCCATCACCGACTTGTTCTGTGACCTTGGGTAAACCGCTTTGTCTCTCTCCTGTCAGTAAGAGGGTGACCAGATCTCTTCCCCGAGATGGGTTGCAGGTATCAGTTAATACATAACGCGTGCTTTGAAGATGAAAAATACCTTGGAGATGCCTAAAGCTCTTGACAAGCATCTGTGTTCCCTTTGCAGGAGCGCAGCAGAAAGCAAAGTGCCTGAGTACTTTGTCACAGACAGAATCTGCTGTGGTTGCAGCTCGGAGAGGCAGGAGCTTCCCCAGCCTTTACACAGCCGTGGAATTTGTGGGCTTTTACACTTCTTGCTTCCTTAAGAGAGGAGTGTCACAGCCCTGTTGTGCCTGGGGCTTTGCGAGCTGTGCCCACATCCCCTGCGTCCCCTGCTCCTGGACCCTCCATAGCACTGGGATGAGCCACTGCATCCACATTCCAGCAAGCATGAAGCCAGGTTTCCTATGGCTTTCCAGCTTCAGCAGGGTCCCCAGGTGATGGACGAGGTGTGGGTGCTCGAGGAGGCTTGGTCCAAGAGGAGTTAGTTTCACTGTTGTAGATTCGCTGTTGACTAGTATAGAGTTGGATTCACACACAGCTCCAGGCTGCTAATAAAGTGTCTCATGATTTCCAGTTTGCATGAAAATGGTAGATAGTGTCTTTGAAAGCACATAACTGTTGGTTTTCATCAAGGATCTCAGAGTTATGCAGCAAATATGTTTTATATAGTGTAATCACAAAGCCTTAATATTCTTGGGAAACCTCCTTTGACTCACTTTTGCTGATCGAAATGCCGTGATTTTGCCAGAGCAGCTTTGGTTGTGGATTGCCCTCCCCGTGGCTGTGCTGCCAGCTCCCTGCCAGCCCTAACGGTGCCTTTTCTCTCCAAGGGAAGAAGCGATGCTGTCCACCTACTTTGAAACCATCAATGACTTGCTCTCCTCCTTCGGGCCCGTCCGAGACTGTTCCCGCAACAACGGTGGCTGCACCCGCAACTTCAAGTGCGTTTCGGATCGCAAGGTGGACTCCACGGGCTGCGTGGTAGGTACTGGGGACAAGCCAGAGGGGGGGACATCATTACCTGCTCCCTTCTCCAGGGATGTGGCCAAGGGGACGTGTGTGCTGGTGGTGGCCTCCCCGGCACCCCTGGGGCCTTCACGGCAAATCACACGACGCCTCAAGGACCTCAGGGAAGGAGCCTGGGGGCTCAGATGAGTAAAAGAAAAATGCTTGAGGCTGGTGGTCGTTTCCCTGCCTGTCAAGAAAGCACGGGCTGAAAGCAGTCACGCTTCTTCTCCTGTCTTGTGCTTCCCAGCGTGGGAGAAAGGTGAAGCATCTCCCCGTCCTCTCTCCCTGTGGGCTCCTCTGACACCCTCAGCGTTTGGTTTTGTTTCTGAACTTGCTCACATCTTGGCAGCCAACGTAAGGAGTCTCAGGTTTTGCAGACCTCCCTCCAGAAGAATTCTTGGGCCCTAGAGCATTAGTTGTGGGCAGAGGCTCTGAACAGTCCCCAGCTATCGATGCACGGAGGGGTTTCACTCTTCCTGCAGGTGGGACAGCAGAGCTCAGCCCCTCTCCCACCTTGGACCCGGGACAGCAAAGTCACCACTTCCCTGTGTGCAAGTCCAGTACGACACGTGGAGACACGGGGGAAAAGCCCTGGGAAACTGGGGGAAACCTGGAGCACCCCGTCTGTTGTAGGAGCCCCTGCCAGGCAGCGGGTGGTGACCCCGAGGGGCTCCAGAGCTTGTCACCCGCTCCTGCAAACACCCCCCTGCTGCCCCAAAACCCCCCCGAGACCCCTCTGCCCCTTCCCCTCCCTCTTGCCGCGGGCAGAGCCCCCGTCACCCCATCCCTCCCATCTCGGCAGAGGCGGGAGTTAAGTGTCTCTTTATTTATTGAAGATGTTTATACACAGCAGCTGGGAAAGGTCAGGCTGGAGCCGTGCTGTCCCGGGGGGGGCGTTTTCATTATCCCCTTCTCCGATTGCTTGTTAAGGCCATTTAGCGTGTCAGCCTGATGTGTCACCAGCAGCGCCCATCACTATCCCTCCTTCCCCCTCCTCTCCCTTTCCTCCTTTCTTTTCCCCATTGTCTTCTTCTTTTGTTCTCTTTTCCAAGGAGCGGCTGCTTTTCTAATCTTTTAGGGGTTTTTCCCCTCTTTTTTTTTTTTTTTTTTCCAACGTGCCTCCCAGACACTGTCAGAAGCAATCGGGGCTCTGATCGTCCCGTGCCGCTGGGGAGAGATGCCTCTTTTTAAGAGTCAGGATATATTAAGGTAGAAACTGTCAATAAATTACAGGCCTAGGGCTCGCCACGCCGGCGTGCGGAGAGGCAGAAATTGAAAGCTCTGTCACTCGGGGAAAATAACCCCCCTGCTTTTGTAACGCCTAAGTGAGGCTTTACATAAAGAGAACAAATTGTGTGCGGCGGGGAGAAAGGAAAAGCAGCAGGAGCTGTTCTCCTGGAGCACATCCCTTCCCTGGGAGCTGTGGGCCAAGAGGGGACACGTGGGGACCACCCGTCCCCCTGCATCACACTGGGTGACTGGGGCTGTGCATCCCACAGGGGTAGGAGATGGCTGCAGAGATGCCCATCTCTCCTCCCTCTGCCCTTCGCCCCTTTCTCTCCCTGCCCCTTTCTCTCCCTTCTTCTCTGCCCCTCTCCACAGCCCCTGGTTGTGGGGTGAAGCCCCCCCCCCCAGTTCCCCAGTCTCAGCTGCAGGCTGAGGACAGCAGAGCTGAGCTCCACAGGGAGGGTTTGGAGGTTGCTGCATCCCCCCCTCTGGTCCACATCTCCCCCTGCTTCCCCTGGACTGACACGAGGGGCACAATTCTCCACATGCCCCAGCAACGAGCACTCCAACCCAGAAAGCCCCCACATCCTGGGCTGCATCCCCAGCAGCGTGGCCAGCAAGGCAAGGGGGGGGTTGAGGTGAAGGGGTGGATTCTGCCCCTCTGCTCTGCTCTGGGGAGACCTCCCTGCAGGGCTGCCTCCAGCTCTGGGGTCACCAGCATCAGAAAGACATGGACCTGTTGGGAGCAGGTCCAGAGGAGGCCACAAAGATGCTGGGAGGAGCTGTGAGGCCACGAAGATGCTGTGAGGGTGGGCTGAGAGAGTTGGGGGGGTTCAGCCTGGAGAAGAGAAGGCTCCGGGAAGACCTTAGAGCCCCTTCCAGTCCCTAAAGTGGCTCCAGGAGAGATGGGGAGGGACTCTTGATCAGGGAAGGGAGCCATAGGATGAGGGGGAAGGGTTTTAAACTGAAAGAGCGGAGATTTCGATTAGATATTAGGGAGAAATTCTTCACTCTGAGGGTGGTGAGAGCCTGGCCCAGGTTGCCCAGAGAAGCTGTGGCTGCCCCATCCCTGGAGGGGTTCAAGGGCAGGTTGGAGGGGGCTTGGAGCAACCTGGTGTGGTGGGAGGTGTCCCTGCCCAGGGCAGGGGGTGGCACTGGATGATCTTTAGGCCCCTTCCAACTCTAACCATTCTGTGATCCCTTCTGGCTCTCCCAACCCCATGCAATGTTTCATCCTCATCACTTGCTTGTAGATGCCCAGCAGTGGCAGAAGTGCGAGCAGAGGTCTGGAGGACACTGTCCCATGTTTCTGACCATGGTCTGTGGCCGTTGTCTGGGGAAAAGCCAAAGGGGTGGGCAGGCAGTGCTGCCCCAGCCCTGGGTTGTGCTTGTGGCGGTGAGTGGGGTCACAGGTGATGGGAGCTGAGTTTGGGAGTTCTCAGCAGCCCCAGTGTGTGACCCTGCAGCATCTTCTGCACCGGTCCCCTCCTCATCCCACCCCTGTGCCCGGCGTCTACTGGGTGTGATCTGGGCTTCCCTTGCGAGCAGGGTTGGGGTCATTTGCTGCAAATTTGCAGGGATGTCAGTTAGTTTTAGAGCTGAACTGCTGTGAACTCAATTTGCCAATTTGGTAAGTGCTATGGGCAATATCGGGATGTAATTTAATTAAGCTATCCCCTTTTTATAGAGTTCAGGGAGCATTGGCGTACTAATTTTAGCACAAGGTTTGCTCCAGCTTTACTCTGGACACTGTTTCGCAAATCATGACATGTTGTTAATCTTTAGCAGTCAACAGTTTATTAATTTGCCGAGGACCACAGAAGTATATAATCAGCGGTTCATCAATCAAGGCTAAATCCAACAAATGTTCCAGGCAGGTACTGAGCATAAAATATACATGCAGCCTTGTAAGCAATTAATACACAGCAGAGCCGGAGCCTAACGGCTCGACCAGGGAACGGCACAAATCTCCAAGATTTCTTATTCCTTTTATATAGAATCATCGTCTGTTACCAGTTCTTTCGTGCCCTTAATGTGGCTTCCAGTAATTCTGCGAGGACCGGGGATGCATTTATTTTCGGGCTTTTTATCGGCGTGGGCTCTGCCATTACCTGAGTGTTTGGCCTCAGAAGGGCTCGGTGGGGGTGTGGAGGGTGGTTTGTTTGTGGCTCCGTGGTGGAATCTCTCTGAGGACGGTCTCCTGGGGCTCACGAAGGAGAAACAAGGACATCCCTTTGTCTATCTAGAATCCCACCTGCCACATGCCACCTGGGAGACCCTGCAGTGGGGTCCCCACCCGGAGGGGTGACAGCTCCCCAGCTTCCATCCCACACTTCCCCATGGGGGCCCTTTTTTTTTTTCCCCCTCATCTCGTGGCTTTTCTGTTATTTTTACCTGTACCCAGTAGATGGCATTAGTGCATAAAGGTTTTCTGCAGTTCTTTTCTTATCGGAGGCTTTTTTTGGGGGGGTGATTTTCAGAAGCCTGAGCTGTGACCTTGCGGAGACCTTGGCGTTGCTCACTGGAGCCTTGCCTTTGAGCCCTACCTTGCAACATAACAAAACAATCCCCAAGCTCTAGAAAGTCTGTTTCCACACTGCTTTTCCTTGTTGCACCCCAGAATTGCTGTCAGGTCTGGGGAAACCACAGGCATTTCCCAAGAAAGCAAAATTCCAGTGAGCTTCTCTAACTCTGGTGGCTCTTCTCTGCCCGTTGAGTCTAGTGTCTCTTGTGTACCATCTTGCAGGGGCCACAGCAAACCAAGGGAAACTGTGCTGGAGGAATAAGTCAGAGTCAGTAATATATATCCCTTCTACTGGAACGGTGGTGGCTGCTCAGCCCAGAGGGAGGACGCTGGAGAAGGGCAAGTGGTTGACCCTCATGTGTTGGTGATGTATAATTTGAGATGACAACCTGCGAATTGGCCCTGAGGGACTGAAGGAAACACCTGTAATGAGGCTTAAATTCAGGTTTCCCCACCTGTCTCTCAGATTGGCTTTGCTCACTGATGCCAGTCTTCTTATCTGCTCAGGGAGAAGAGGAGGTCACTTACATCTGCCACCCTATGGCCGTGCTGTTTGCCAGCCCCATGGGGCAAGGCAGGACTGCAGCCCTGGGGGAAAAGAAGGGTGAGGTTTTTTTCCCTAAGGAAAGTGAGCTTTGGTCTTGGCACGTGAGCTGGGTGAGGGGGTGCACCTCTGGTGTGTGTTGGGCATCCTTGGCATCACTGTGGGAGGAGGCAGCAGCAGGTACAAGCCTGCAGTGAAGGTCCCTGTCTGAGCCCTGTGGTGCCTCTCGGGATGGGGTCTCATCACCCTGAGAACCTCCTGGCGAAGGTGGAGGGCACAAGCTGCCCAGCTGGTGGTGGGGAAGGCAGCTTGGGGTCCCACACTGAGGTTGCAGCAGCAGGAGACCCCTTGTTTCCCTGCTGTGAGAGCAGCACCGCAACCACAGGTGAGTGTGGGTGGGGTGTTTCTGATGGTTCTGCAACATCCGTGGTGCCTGTAGATGGTGGTGAGTTAGTCCTTTAAGTCAGAACAGAGTGACTTGTGCCACGGAGGCCAAAGATACGGCAGATGGATGTGGAAAGGCAAAAAGTGTGGCTGTGGTCCAGGATCCATCCCACCCTGGGAGAGGGGTCAGCAAGAGGCAGGAGAGCTCGCTGAGCCCAGGAAGCAGGTGCTGCTCTTCTGCACGTGAAAATCCTGCTGACCATCATCATCTCCCTGCTCGCAGGCTGGGGTTCC